AAAGCTACTTAGATCAATTTTTATTTACCACGTTAGCCTAAAAATGTCAAAATCTTTTACGCCACACTTTCTTCAGTACATTTCTACTCAGTTTGCTAACAGTCGCACATTTCAAGTGCGAGCACGAGTAAAGACACCCTTGTACTAAATAACAACAAAGCACATAATAAATGAGTGCTAAGAGTCTCATCCCGCCTTATTCATACGTTATGAGACTTAAACCTGCAGTCACAAGACTCTCTCCCTAAAACCGCAAGTATTTGAGGGTCACCATTCGTACACATATACTAATATCTCATTAAGTTCAAGTTCCCCTAATGAGGATTCCGATGAAAGCTTCCTTATCGATTCAAGTTGCTAGTCGTCCTAAAAGCCTTAGCTTGTATCTTAACACATCCAAATAAGAGAGGCTCACATCAAATATTTACGAATGAATGCCACAACCGTGTTACGACACCATTCCATAATAATAAGAGTCGGCATATGTGTGTATGTATGTAAAGTGAGGGTGATTGCGGTCGGGGTGGAGGTTTTAGACATCATGATCTATGCACACCCAACGGTAACCAACCACTGGACAGGATAAACGATAGCTTTGGATGGAAGTCCATCAGTTTAACCAACCTGTGCTGTTAACCCGCCACTTTAGCCTCCTATTAGGGAGCGCTTCAAATGCCCAAGCATAAACACGTTTGTTGATTAATTAATCGCAGGTGGAAAAATGCGTGAAAAAAAAGCCGGGGGTGTTGAAACAGATAAATAATTATTAGGTTTAAAAGAGGATGGGCTATTATTGGTTTTCGTCCTTTTCAATATATGTATTACAAATGATAGTGGAGAAAAATACGCAGAGACAATATTTAGAATCAAAATTGTCTATTGCTAAAATGTAAATTTTATATATAAAGAATTTTGTCACGTCAGGTCAGGTCAGGTCATTGCCTCATTTGATGTACAGAAAAATATTTTGTACATACTACTTATAATTTATCATTCTTTGTACCAAAGAAAGATCGGTGGTTATTGTGCAATGAACATGCTGAAGCGAGAAAGTCTGCATCCGTAACTGATGCTTTGTTACACAATACAACAAACATCAACAGAGGAAAGAAGTGCCAAATCACGCCGAAGCGGAAGACACGAAAAGACCAGATACTGTCCCTAGCTTTATGTTCGCTACTTTGGATCTTCAGAGCGTCCTGCAAATTCCTTCTAGTGACGAATCACTACTGTGTTATTGTCGTAAACTTTGTGTTCACAATTTTACGGTTTATGAGTCATAACTACCTAGTGCCGCGCATTGCATAGATTGGTCTGAAATTAACGGAAAAAGAGATAATAATGAAATAGATTCAACTTTAATGCAATGTCCTTTTACTTTTTTTGACGCAAACCACTCACATTGAACTTATTGAACAAACATATTTAGAGTACGGTCACTCTTTTATGTAAGTAGTAGAAGTATAGTATGCACAATGCTATAGAAAGAGAAAAAAAAAGTACTTACCTGTTTATTCTATGTTGAACTGGATGAATATTATGGAAGAGCTAGATCTAATAGAGACAAAAAAACTGTGAAGTCTTATAATGCGAGTCAATTAAATTTTTCATTGTACATACCGCCACTGAAAATTTGCTTGGCAGAGAGAGAAAACTAAAATCTATGTCTATACTCTTCTCAAGGCTAGCAAAGAAATATCATATCTGCATTTCTTTCTAACTTAACATTGTGTCAATCGTGTCCACACTTTTAAAAACGACATATTCTGTCAAGGCACTCTACTACGCTATGAAAAAAATAAATAATCTATGAAAAATTAAGTATCTGTATGACCACAGTGGCTTCTACAAAACAGATGTCAAACAGATAGTAAAAGCAACATCTTCTCATAAGCCATAAAAAAGCAAGCTATTAAAACTTTGCCAGAAATTAGTTATACCCCAAGAACTGCAATTATGGTTTCAATGATTATCGGTAGATCACACGACAGAGCCTGCACTCGATGACGAAAGTGAAGAAAATTCATTTGAATGATGCAGAAAAAAATATTTTGCCTTTTGTTAGAATCACCTTCATTGTGACACATTTGTAACAATGTTAATTTCGTTTGATATTTTGTTGTTGTCATGGCGTTCTTCTATGAAAAATAAATAAAAATTATTCTACTCTCTTATTCTGAAATTTTAGTTGTGCAAGAAATCACTAACTGCAAATATTGGAAAGAAACATAAAAAAACATTTTTTCTTAAGGTTTAAAATGTGGTCACATAAACAACACAGACTTTATTTACCATAAACAAATTGCAACAGATAATTTTTGTACACTGCTTTAATAAATACATTAGAAATTTAAAAGCTCATTTTCTCAATAGTAAGTAATTTTCTCAAAGTACGTGGATATTAGTTAATGATTTTTCGCAGGGATGTGACGACTAGCCTTAGTTTTTTATTTAAATTTTTAAATAATGTTACTGATTGTAGTAAGTTGCTCCGTTGTTTAGATTTCTATGTTCCTAGATTTAATAATACAACGACAGTTACGTTATTCTACAAAACACCTAAAACGAATCGTGGTAGAAAGGATCCCATTTATATTGTAAATTATTACTTGAAACAATTTGAAACACAAAATTCGCTTGATATTTTCAGTTCAAAATTATCTCGCTTCAAACGTTGTCTAAGGAAGAAACTTAATTTAATTTATTTGTTTTATTTTGCAATTGCAATTATTAAGATGTTTTGTTATTGTAGTAAGTGAAATTCTGTTGAGCAATAAAGGGTTATTTATTATTATTATTATTAAAAAAAAAGTTCTTAATTGCTCACTTGCTGAATAATATACTATTAACTAAATTAGCTTCAAGTAATTGCGAGGTTTGGCTTAATTTTTACTTCCAGAGAGTAAGTTAAGGTAAAAAGTATCGAATTCATCGGACGAATTGCTACTCTTTTCAATTTTTAGCTATAATAGTCGAACTGTTTTAATTAGTGATTACTGAGATGTTTGGAGTAGATTTATGCTTTACATGTATTATATTGCAAATGCATTGAAACTACAGGGCTTTCATAAATGATTCTAAGGGCGTAGTTGGCCATGGATTTCAAAAATGCCGCTTTGCTGAAATTGTCTCATTTGACAATTCTCACTTGTCATTGTGCTTGTCATTTGTAACCTGTCACTTAAAATCATCGCTTTTATTGTTCTACCACTTTCCAAGTGTGATTTACAGTAATTCTCGTTGATCCAAGTTTAAAACAACAAAATAGCCTTTCTCAAGGCTCTTGGTGCTTGCGTGCGAAAACTTTGTGCTCGAAGCGAAGACCGTGAAAATGGTTTATTCGGTTGAGCAAAACACTTTCATCGTTATGTCTTATTATCGCAATGGGACATTCGTAGACGGAGCGTGGCTGTATTCTGTAGCCGCTTGTAAGCAAGAATATCTGGCCAATTACCCTGATTTGGAAATTCAAGAAACATCATTAGAGGCTCACATTAGAGATGTCATCAACAGATTTGTTCGCACTGGCAATGTCAACAAAGGGAAATCTTCTGGGAGACCTGCAGTATCTGAGGAAGTTGTTGATGATTTGAGAGAAAGACTCGAGCAGAATCCCCAAACATCTTTGACAAGATTATCTCAACAGTCAGGAGTTCCCGTAACCACATGTCACAAAGTAGTGAAAAAACGATTGCATATGCATCCTTACAAAATAACTACTGTGCAACAACTTTTACCAATAGATCCTCCACGCCGCGTAGAATATTGCAATTGGTTTCAGAATACTTTTCATGATGACGGGTTACTGGATCTTACATTTTTTAGTGATGAAGCATGGTTTCATTTATCTGGCTATGTCAATTCGCAAAATTTTAGAATTTGGTCCGCGGAAAATCCACATGTTTTTGTAGAGACGCCTCTTCATCTTTTAAAAATTGGAGTATGGTTGGCAGTTTCTCGTAGACGAATATATGGACCTATTTTCTTTCATGATACTATGACTGGAGAGAGGTATAGGCAACAGATTTTGGAACCATTTATTCAACAACTTGATGACGAAGAGCTGCAGTTAGGGTACTTTCAACAGGACGGCGCGACTGCACACACTGCACGTGCTACATTGGAATATTTACAACAACATTATGACGATCGTGTAATAAGTTTAGGAGTGCAGCATGCATTTCCACCACGTTCCCCAGATCTTACGCCATTGGACTTTTCAATATTTGGATATTTGAAAGACAAAGTGTTTCAACGGCAAATGAATAACTTGGCAGAGTTGCAACATGAAATTGAACGATGGGTTCAAAGCATTGATGGAAGGATGTTACAGAACATTTTTGAAAGTAAGAAAAAGAGAGTGAATATGTGCCTTGAACTAAATGGTGAACATTTTCAACATTTACTGTGATGTTTAACCACAATAAATTTGTTTGTTTATTCCATTATGAATTATTTTTATTTTTAACAACAAATTGACTCTCAGGAATGTTGGAGTTCCGCGCATGAGGGTAACAAATTACGCCCGCGTAATTTCAAATGTTCAAATTCTATGTGGGTGACCTAATTTTGCATTGAAACGAATCTGTACACAAAAAAAACAACAAAAATCAAAAACTAGTCTTTAAAATTAGCAACGAAAGTATATTTTGAAGCTTGATACTTAAAATGAAATCCCACTACGTTCTAAATACCTATTTATTATGTACAATAAAATTTTTGATAGAACTGAATGAAATCTCAAACCGTAAAAACTCTGATTATTATCCGTGTCCGTTCACCCATCTGGTGGTCCTTGATTTTATATGACTCTACGATGAGGGTTTAGAAGCTACCCAGCAGTCAAAGTTATATTTGGATTTTTATCTTTTACGTTTATACATTTTCGTTGAATATGTACTTTTGTGGCGGGAAGTGAAATATTAATTTTGTAATATACTATTGTTTTGTGGCTAATTAAAGAATTTCGTGTAATTTTTATGAAAAGGACAATGGACAGATAAAGTTCTATTATTTTATTAAGTAAAAACAAGCACTAGACATGACAAAACATATTTCAGTATGAGCATCCAAAAGTTTGAAGTGTTAACAAAATGTGCTTATTGTGTGAAATAATTTCAAGTACAAATCGACATCTAAGATATTTTCACGGCGACAATTTCAAAAATATTAAAAACTAGCAGAATAATTTGTCCGCTATGCTTTGAAAACTTTCAGCGTTTTCACTTATTAACGAATCATTTCAACATCGTTTATAACATTGAGTTGGAAGTAAAGGATCTACAATTTAAGAAAACGGAAGAATTTTTTTACACGAAAAGCAGATTTAGAGTTAAAAACTAATTCTTTTATATGACGAATTATTATTTTCTACTATGAATGTCAGAAGTAATCTAGCAAATTCTGTTAGTAAATGTAATATACGAGCTCCTAAACCTAGTGGCAGTATCAAAATGCAAGGAGTCTGTCCTTCACGAATTACAGCTCACTTTGATCATTCTTCCTCAGTGGTACTTGTTCAGTTTATTGCTATTCATGTTGTTCATCACAATGATCTTCGCTGTCAACCCCTGACTACAAAAGAAACGACATATCTAGTTGAACAAATTCGCACTGGTGTAACACACGAAAAAATAATTGAAACTGTTAAAAATCTAGAACTCAGTTCATGTACCAGATTTAATCTTCTGACTATGAAAGACATTCCCCACATTGCAGAAAAAATAATACATCTGGTAAATGAAGTAAGGAAAATCTTGTTGTGCATCAGAACATGAAAAATTGCACAAAAATGACTGCATTAGCTTCCATGTACAGTGGGCTGGAGTATATGTTAAAAAAATATGGCGCCAAAATCATTTGTGTAGATGGCACACATGGGACAAACCTCTTATGACATTGAATTGACCACAAGTCCATGTGTTAGATGATAAAAATATTGATTATCCAGTAACATTTATTCTGTCCAACTGAAAGGACACCAACATATAAGAGGTTCTGGTTGGTGAAATAAAATCATTAATATCGGTTTTGGTACCCAATTATTTCATGACAGATGATAGTTACAGCTACATATTGGAATGCCTGGAACAATAAATCAGATTCTTACAAAATTAGATTATGTATTAAAAGAAACAGATGAAAATAAATTTATAAGACTGAAGCAAGAGCTGATTAAATTTTTGGTAAAAAGTAAATTTGTGAATTATTTAAACACTTACTACTTTCAAAATAAAGAGCGCATGAAGTCATGGGCCCAGTGTTATCAAAAGAACGCAGGCATTAACACCAACATGCACGCCAAATCTTTGCACAGATCTTTGAAATACAAATATTTTGGTGGTAAACCAATAGAGGGCTGGAAACATATTTAGACACTTTGAAGAAACTACTGAAGGATACATCTTGGTCAAGAATTTCATCTACTTTATGACTTACAGCTATTCACCATGACCTTTTGGTCAGTAAGTCCCATAAACTTGCCACCCAGATAAGTTTTGATAATGTAGCTAAAGAATCTGCTGTAAAACATTTAATGCACTCACAAACCAAAACTAACTTTCATGAAGTAGAACTGATGGATAGGAAATGTAGTTATCAGACATTAAAATGCGTTGTTTGTCAAATTTGTATACACCATTAAAGATACTCTTGCTCTGAGTTCTTAATCAAAAATCATCTTTCTAAGCACATGCATCTGGTGTCCATGTATATAAAGGCATATTTAACCACCAAAGGCCCTTGGTCCCACTGGTCATCAATGCGCCTTCAACTTCTGAAAAACAGTTTGAAAATGAACTACATTTGCGCTTATCTAACTCCGTAACATCGCGCAGAACACGCGCTTCTCGATTTCGCACAAACTGTTTGTGCAAAGCTCTTCTACAGCATCTTTTGATCACGTTCCTCATCTTCAAATGTTATGCAAATGCTTCCTTTTGCCACAAAAATTTGTTAAATTTCGCATTCGTGCATTCTTTAATTGCAGCATTGCAGCCGTTGCTAACATAACCTAACTTTTTATGGTCACCAACGCGTGCTAACTTTTTGAAAGGACACACGGGCGCTTCGCCTCCTGCACTTCATTACAAATATACTCCTAAACGTGGAACTTCTTTTTCCGTGGATGATTTAGTTATTGGAATTTGTGCGTGTGTATATCAACAGCCAACCAAAAATTTCACTTGTTATCGCCAGTATCGCCTTGTTATGTTAGTCACATGTGTATTGACGCATGCGTTTTCGATATTTAATCATGAAGCATCTAGGCAACCAGTTATACAGATGCATGTGGTGCTTGTCGTGCCCAAGGACACATTTAGTAAAGTACACATAAAGCGAAAGGCGGCACACATCCATAACCTACTGCGACCCTATAATCATTTATGAAAACCCTGTACATATTGTATTTGATACAAAACACAATTAAATCAACATCAAAAACAGTGAAATAGTTATAGTTTTTGATACACGACAGTACAGTTAAAATGTTTTACGATATCCTTATGCCACTTTATTACAACAAAAACTTACGAAGATAATAGTTGCTGCATGAAATCCATTTTCATAAATTTATGCAATAGAATTTATTAAGTGAAGAAGTTCATTAGAACTACTTTACAAATTACCGAAACGAATGAATAAGTTGTGCTCAAAAAACTCCACTCACCACCCGGTTGAGTCTTTAGCACTCGATTCCACCTATTAAAGTCTTTGAAAGCGACCTTCACAATTACAAAGTTAGTGAAGAGTTACCCTTTAACTCGAAAGCACAGAATATTAAAATCTGACCCAAGAGTATCTCGACAGTCATTAAGTACTTTTTAACCCATTATCTTCGACCACAACTTTTTCCTTGCGCCACCTCCAACAATTCTTTTAGGTCTTTAAGAGCATTTCGCTCGTCTCATCGACTTACAAGAAAAAAATCCCCCAAGAATAAGGCGAGTGATTTCGCTCCGCATTTTCTGCATCGATTGGAACATTCGTTCACGGATTTTTACCTCAACACCTGTCAACCCAACCACAATTCCGATGACTGTCGTAAAAAGTTACGTATGCAGCCTCTAGATTAGAAGTGATAATTATCGTTGAGAGTATAATGCTTTGATATTAAATTAAACTTTGAGGTGGATGTTCGCGTTACGCTTGCGAGTAGATATCTCTAAAGTAAACCATCAAATTACAATAGATTTCCACAGGGATGAAGCCAGACAATTAGAAGGGTTTAATATGCTTTACCGTTGGTGGTGTTGTTACAATACTACACAATATTGTAGGCATAAATGTTGGACAAGCGGTTCGTTCCCATTTTTACACTCAGCAAAATAAGCGTCGCATAAAACGCTACCAGTTGGACAGGTCTTTTTACGCTGTTTTACTAATGTTTGCTCAAGACAAAGTAAATACGGCTTTTTTTAATGGGCGTTTCTACACAAGTGATTTTCTAGAGCGAATTATTTGCTTTGGGCGTCTTTTTAAAAATGTGATACATCAACAATTTTATCACACATCGTTATTTGGATTAATATCACGAGTACCTAAATAGCTTAACTTTACAAGTTTAAATTATTTTATCTGCATACAATTTCAGATAATTTTAAAAACTACCCTTCGCCGATACGGCACCTGGTGTGTTAAAACACTACATTCAGGCTAAAGATGCTGGAGAACTATAATTTTTCTTTTCGTCATATAACTTTCAAAGAACACGCGATCCCAGCGTTTACTCTCGTTAACCACCCAACAAAATGATAACAGGAATTATGGGTTAGAAAGATTTTAGGTGTCACTACGATTTATGGTGTAAGCCGGTAGTAGCATGCGGACTTTTAAACATTTATAAGATGGGTTTTTTCAATATTTCTGTTTACTCTTTCTTTACATAATGGGGTACTATAAAACCGAATTAGAACTGGGGAAACTATAATAATAAAATAATAATAATAAATTTTATTCAGCCATCAAGGTCGTGAATATACGACATCGGCATTGTCACAACATACAAAGAGTTAAAAGTGTCAATAGTGTCATACAAATATATACACATACATACAATTTTACAGTACAATATAGACGTTAACATCGATTCAGTACCTCATCAAAGCTATAATACTCTTTATCTATCAAATATTTTTTTAGTTCCCATTTGAATTTATTTGTTTCGCGTATATTTATTATAGTTGATGGCAAAGAATTATATGCGAGAATTGCTCTATAATGTGGGCCTTTTTCAAAGCAACGGGTTTTATGTTTGGGCACGCTAAGATAAGCATTACCTCTTGTGGTCATCCGAGAGTAAAGATCCCTGTTTTTTTCAAAACTGGTTTCATTAGATCTTACATACATTATTAATTTAAACATATAGAGGGAGGTTACTGTCATTATGCCAAGTTTTTTAAAAAAAGATCTACATGATTCTTTACTTGGTAAATCAAGTATAATTCTTAAAAATCTCTTCTGGGTTATAAAGACTTTGTTCCACTCAGACGATATATACCAGAAAACAATGCCATAAGAAATAATGGACTGTACGTAAGCGTAGTAGAATTGCATAAGACTTGCAATGGGTAATTCTTCTTTTAGAACACGTACTACATAGCATGCTGTATTTATCTTACTTATTATATTTTTAATGTGTTCCGAAAATTGCAGTTTGTAATCTATGACAATTCCTAGGAATTTTATTTCACTAGATTGCTGAATTTGCATATGATTTATAGATATGTTTTCAAAATTTTTAAAGAATAGCAATCCTGTTTTATTCACATTTAATTTTAGACAATTCTGCTTGCAGTATGTAATCATTTTGTTAATGACCGTAACTATGTTTTCAGAAAGCATATTAAGACTATGACTGCACACCATACACGAAGTATCGTCAGCAAATTGATAAACGTGCTTAATGTCCACGTGTTCATGTAGATCATTTACATACAGAAGGAACAATATAGGGCCAAGAATTGATCCTTGCGGTACCCCTGCATGATATGACTAATATACGACTTTTTAGTTGTTAAAATATTGTTAATAGTAGTCGTTACATAAACTCGTTGAGTTCTGCCAGTTAAATATGATGCTATTAATTTATTTACTTGCCCCCTAAGACCATATTTCTCTATTTTATTTAACAGGATGTCGTGTTTAATTGTATCAAATGCCTTTGACAAATCGAAGTAGACACCGGCACATTTTTGATGATCGTCAAGAGAATTCAGTAATGAGTCCATAAAATTAAATAAAGCAGTTTCGGTGTTACGATTAGGTACAAAACCATGGTGTGTTTGAGAAATGATAGCGTTACGTTGAAGGAAATTAATTAATCTATGATATATAATTTTTTCAAAAATTTTTGAGATTGATGACAGAAGAGATATTGGCCTATAGTTGTTAATATTTTCTTTACTGCCTTTTTTGTGAATAGGGATAACTTTGGCTTCTTTTAACTCATTTGGAAAGTAGCCATCTAAAAAGCATTGATTAAGTATTTGAGTTAGGGGTTCACTTATAAGATTGTTGACGCTTTTTATTTCGGTTATAGGAATTTCATCAATCCCACTTGAATATTTACATATTTGGTAACGTGGTTATCAATTTTTTTACTTCGTCTACTGTCACCGGCATAAGGTACATGCTATTATTGACATATTTGTTAATAACTGAATGATTATTAATATTGGAACTACTAGAGTTACTGTCCCTAGTCGGTTGGAATACTTTCATAAACCTATTGGCTAATTCTGATGGATCAGAAATTGGGACATTGTTATCTTTGATTGAATATTGGTGCTTACGATACCCCCGCTGTGTGATACTCTTAAAAATAGCAAACGTTGTTTTTGATTTCTTTGTGGAACCATTAATTAATCTATAATTTTCATCTTGTTTTACTTTTTTTAAAAAATTCTTAAAGTTTTTTTTTCCTGTTTAAGTTTTTGGAGCAGTTGTGGTGATTTATTTTTTATATATAATTTATATAGATCATGTATATATGCTGACCACGTTTTCAAATATGGGTTGTTAATTTTTTTTGTTTTATTTTGGATGGCAGGCTTTGTTATTAATGGATAGGATTTGTTGAAATGGTATTTGATTATTTCACAGAATTGTTTAAATTTACTGTTGCCGTCTGATACACCATAAACATTATGCCAAGATTCATTTCTAATGGCTTCGTAAAAGGTAAGATTATTTTTTGAACTTACGAAATTTCGTTTTTGAGTATAGAGGGTTTCCGACTCTATTTGCTGGTCCCCAGAAGAGATTTTCAATACTTGCGAGAAATGGTCCGATATATATGACTTGATGACTTCACATGCTACAGAATCAGTATTAATATTGCTGAATATATTGTCTAAGAGGGATTCTGAATTTCTACCTATTCGCGTTGCTTCCCGTACATGTGGTATTAATCCAAAGCTTTGAAAAAGATGTACCACTTCACGAGCTTCGTCATTGTTACTGTTTTCCAGAAAGTCGACATTGAAATCTCCGCAGACTATTAATCGTTTTGATGAAGTACTAAAAACATATTGTAATAACTCAAATAATTTTTGGAGAAATACATTTTTATCTCCAGTAGGAGCACGGTATATACATACTACTAGAATATTAGGCTCGTTGGACGGTTTGATCTTTGCACAACAATATTCAAAGTCACCCTCTATCGGTTTAGGTTGATCGAAATTCACAGGAGAACTGTCAAACAGATTGGAATTTTTTAAGAATATCGCTGTACCACCACCTCGGGTGCTTTGGCGGGAGAAGGTTGCAGCTAGATGATAGTTTTCAGGTCCGTATGGTAAGACTTCGCCGTCTTTGAGCCAGTGTTCAGTGATACCAATAACTGTAGGGGTTAATTCATTTACAAGATGACTGAATTCATTGCGTTTGTTTCTTAAACTTTGGAGATGAAGATGTAGTAGTGAACAGATTGGAGTTTGGACTAACTTGGTGTTTGTCTCGTCGTCGCCCGATGAAAATAACGTGTTACATAGCATCCACTTGGCCAGTTATTGGCATCTAGTGCTGAATTGAAATTATGCAGATCGACGGTCACCTTAAATGATGTGTAAAATTCCGGGTGTTTACTGTCAAGTTCCTGGCATGTTGTCTCTGGGAATTTTGATTTTAGCAGACCACAGACTTCTGCAGCTGAGGTTCCAGGAGCTAGCCTCGAAACGTATATGAAGGCTTTCTTGGGGGCCACCTTTATCGAGGGGAACTGGGTGTTCGTTCCAACCACTTGAGGCACCCTCTGTGA